AAGGGATGTGAGGACTCTAAAACTTCACCAGAGCCTCCTTTGGCATATGGGTGAGTAGATAATGGCTGAATTTTCATTTTTAGGTGCACTATCCCCTGAACTAAGAATAATGCGAGGGTTTGCGAAGATTTCAAAAACAGCGTGCAGAAAAGAAGGTTTTGGACAGAATTGTAAGTTTGCACAGAATTCACAAGGACTGGCTGAATTTGCATTAATTATTGAAATCACAACAAAACAGCAACCTGGAGGGACTGAGTAATGTGAGCAGCAATGTCCATCCATCTATTTTCTGTAACCACTTATTCTCTTGAGGGTCGCTGGAGGGGAAATTCCAGCTGTCATTGGGTGAGAGGTGGGGTACACCCTGGACAGGTCGCCAGACAACCATACACACTCACATTCACATTCACATTCACACCTACTTTCAATTTAGAGTCACCAATTAACCTAACCTGTATCTCTTTGGCCTGTGGTAGCAAGCCGGAGAACCTGGGGAAAACTAACCCTGACATGCTAACTCCATATAGCTGTTAGGTGACAGTGTGAACCACTGCACCACCGTGCCACCCCCAGCAGCAATGTCTTGCAAGGAATTCAGTTCAGCTTGGTACTGACTACACAAATTTGTGTCATTCACATGTTAGTAATGTAAAATTTTTTTAATTTAATTTTTTTTAATTTTATATACTTTATTAATCCCTGAGGGGAAATTCAATTTTTCACTCTATTGTCAATTACACACAGGTCTGAACACACACATGCACAAACTGGACCTATACATGCACTAAGTGGAGAGATGTCAGAGTGGGCTGCCCATGACAGGCGCTCTGAGCGGTTGGGGGGTTCGGTGCCTTGCTCAGGGGCACCTTGGCAGTGCCCAGGAGGTGAACTGGCACCTCTCCAGCTACAGTCCACGCTCCATATTTTTGGTCCAGATGGGGACTTGAACAGGTGACCCTCCGGTTCCCAACCCAAGTCCCTATGGACTGAGCTACTGCCGCCCACTTAGCATTGAAGTTACGTGCCCCTGGAGTGAGTGCCTTGCATCTTGCTCCAATATGAAAACCAGTAAAACAACAAAATGCCTTAGTGCCGGAGAGTTAAAGAGGGAGAGACATGATGCAAACATACTGTATGAGTTGAAAGAAATATGTGCATGCCACTGTTCTGGAAACAGGAAGTTAGTTATTACAGTTGGGTTCACTCACCAACAGACAGCAGCAGCTTCGGCAGTGAAGGCACTTTAAGAGGCCCCTGACTCTGCAGCCTGCATTTCATTGTGCCTGTCTGTTTAATCTGAAGAACATGTTAAAAAAATCTGATGTTTTAGCTCACTGCTCACTGCTGGAGGAAAAACAAACTAAGACGACTGTCCTTACCGTAAGTCGTCTGTTGAGTGTTTGATGGTTATTTATTTGTGCTTTAGAATGTATCTGCGGTGGAACAATCATTAAAAAAAAGTTTATTTTTATCATTCACTGGCTTTCTCACAGCACCGTAGTGTTGTCCCTCTCTCAGCTCACTTGCCCATGTTATGCTGTCAGCTCGCTGGTGTAATCTGTCTCTCTTTCTCTCTCTGTCTTTTTAAAATGAGTCAGGAAGCTGACATTAGTGTCTGACTTTACGTGCGATGTTATCAAGCAAAGAGAAATGTTCCCCTCTTGTCCTAAAATGGTCCTAAATCGATACTAGAGCACTTCCCTGTTTTGTGAACGAAGTGGTACACAAGTTGAAAGAGCAGTGCTGTGTCTACTTGACCAATCAGAGATGGTTATCCCTTCAAGCCCCACTCCGAAGGTTCCTATACTTTCAGAAAGCCCCCCCAGTCAGGGGAGTAAAAAACAATGTCCCCAAAACTTGATTTAGACCCAGGTCAAAATGCACTAAGTTCCTCAAAAGGTTTCTGGTTCCTAGGGGGAATGTTCCTGCAGTCATAAAGGGGCTTATTTGTGGCCAAACACCGGCAGCGAATAGACCTAATTGTGGGATATACCACTGCCCTGTTTCCCCAGTGTCGATCTGTCATCTCCTGAGAAGAACAGGAATTTCATTACATTTGCTCCTAGTATCAACACGTCGCAGATACTTCAGTAGCGCTTCTGCTCTCACACACTCACACCATTTGAAGAAGTTGTTGTTTTTGAGATTTCATCAGCCTACTTGTGGATTTCACATTTGAGTACAGAGTTTTTAAAGATATGTCTACAGTTAAATTAGGCAGAAGTTTTAACAGACACTAAATATTCCACCATCTGATGCAAATTTACATTGTGTTCTTTGTGCCCTAAAAGGTCTGTGTGTTTCATTTAACCTGCATTCAGTGTGGTGTGGTGTGGTGTGGTGTGGTGTGGTGTGGTGTGGTGTGGTGTGTGTGTGTGTGTGTGTGTGTGTGTGTGTGTGTGTGTGTGTTTTCCTCCTTTTTGTAATGTGCGAAGTTTGATAATTCCTGACCAAGCAGCTGGGTAGTACACTTTGGTTCATATTTTTAAATCAAAGCCTATGATTTAAAAAAAAAAGACACAACCTGCTGTGTTCTCACTTCTATGTTTGTCTCTTCCAGGCGAACTGTGAGTGGGAGTGTTAGTGGAAGTGGTAGCAGTTATACCGGTTCTAGCTCCAGATCCAGATCCAGATCCTCCTCCAACTCCCTGTCACGCTCACGCTCAGGATCTCGAAAATCCAGGTACTCACTGTGAGCATTGTCAACAGAACTGCGCTACCTCAGTATGTAGACATGTTGTTGACAGTATATTGCATTTTGTAATTTATGTAAATAACCTTATTTGCGAACAAGCAGATGTGTGCAGAACAGGTGGGATTAATTATTGTTTATTTTGTACAGTTGTGCACACACAAACTTGTTCTATGCGGTCTTTGATAAAGCCACAGAGCTTTTTTGGGTTTACATTGCTATCACACTTTCAAAAAGATAGGATATAAACATGTCGGTACATAATGTAATTTAATTTAAGTCAACACATACAAGCAGAAGATCATCTCAAGATTTGTTGTGATTTTTACTTTCTGAACTGGTAAAATTGGACTCTTTAAAAAAAGTTTTTTTATTTTATGAATCTTGTCACAGGAACATTGCACAGGCATTGTGAGCTTCACAGTAATAGAACTTATAATTGGCTGCTTTTAGATTTGATATATACCGGTAGTGATAGATATACAATGGTATTTTAAAAGGTATTTTAAATATATATAATGGGTTATTCTGATTACAGAGTTTAATCTTGCATAATTCAGTGTTGTTTTCTCTTGCCCTCATATGCTGTCTCTGACTGGAAACCCTCCAGGAAATCCAGGTACGATTGGTATTGTTCGGGCTGTGTGCATGCATGCGCTCCCTTTGTGGCTGAGAATCAGCATCTCACAACTGATTATTGTGTCTTGCTGCAGATCGCTGAGTGTGAGCAGCGTGTCATCAGTGTCATCAGCATCATCCAGCAGCAGCTCCGTGCGTAGCGCAGACTCGGATGATATGTATGCTGACCTGGCCAGTCCGGTGTCTTCTGCCAGCTCCCGCTCGCCCACACCAAATCACCCCCGCAAGGAGCGAGGGGCTGCGCGGGACCGGCCTCCACACAGCAGAGACAAGAACAGGGGTTAGTGTGGGCAACAAAGTCCCCACGCAGCTGGCAGGCTGCTACACAACAGCTTAACATTCAAATCATAAATTCATAAACTGGTATTCAAATAATGGCCAAGTTTCAATTAAAGGCTTGGTTAAAATAAGTTTGGGGGTATGGAAGTATCTGTACCACATATGCTCTGATGGTAAATAACAGCATAATGTACATTACTATAGCACCAATTTAATCAGTGCAACAGTGTCATGTCATAGTCAACACTCTGCTGCTGTTTTGTTTTTAAACAAATACTTCTTTCTTTCAACAGTTAATTCCAGTGGCTTTTTTCCAAAGTGTTTTTTTTATGGTCGTTGATGAACTACTGTCAGTTACACTCACTTCCTGTAGATGTTTCAAAGTAAAAGTCTAGCAGGAAAGATAGGGATTATGCCCCTTGCACAACTGGAAGGATTTTAGTATAAAACATCTGTGCTGTAAGTCTTAAGTTTAATCGACGAAGCTCAACAGTAATCAAAAGACAGAAAAATAGAAGTGACTGCAAAGAATTAGTGAACAAAACTAGTATTTCAGTCATGAAAGAAACTTGTTTAGTGAAAGTATATGACTCTGCTGGCAGAGGTATTCAAAGTTGAGATTTTGCACTTGTTCTTCAAAACTAAGGTTTCGTTTTTCATTGGCTTTAATTAAGTTAGAAGTACCACACATTTATAGCTAACAACAGAGTTTAAAGAATTGGGTGAAAAGAAAATTGTGAAATGGTAGGTGTAAAAGTAGTAAGATTTTAAAATATTTTTTTATATTATTATATGTTTTTATTTTTTCTCTTTATGGGAATTGTAGAACTGATGATTGGTTGGTTGGATGACTGGTTTTCTGTCGTCATCACAGAGAGACCATCAAAGAAAGATGAACCCTTCAGGGAGGACCGCAGGAAGGTTGACTCTTCCGGTGCTCCACCTAGAGGAGGCAACCCCATGCCTAGATCAGGACCCGGTAGCAGGGGTGGCCATCCTGTACATCCCCCACCTGGCACCATGGGCCCGCCAGGAAGCTATGGAGGTTCAGGTTCCCACAAAGACATCAAACTCACCCTCCTTAATAAGGTTACCATTATTTTGTTTTACAAAATGTTTAACCTTTGCAATTGATGGATGAATGTATTTGCAGTTTGTTTTACTGTGATTTTATACTGTAGACACTGTGACGTCATATTTGAACCAATATTGGTATCAGTTCTGGTACAGCACCGATGTTGGTTCTGGTGCAGGTATGACGCTCCTCTGCTCTTTTATAACCACACATAGAGCTAATAGTGTCCAAGGCAAATTTCTTACTAGGACAGTAAAGTCTATCCTATCCTATCCTTTGACCTGCTTTGGCCTTTATCGGAGTAAAAGTCGTTGTATAACAGAGAGGTGGCACAAAGAATTGCCATCTGCAATATAGGGCTGGCTAACTGAGCCAGCCCTATATTGCAGATGGCAATAACTGGAAAAGTACACATGTAACTTTGCTGACAAAGGTGGTATTTACAAGTAAAATGAAATGCATACTTGTACATTGGCTGGGATGTTTGGGACTAATAGGTTGCCCAGTGCTAATGTTTATAGTCTTAAATTAAACCGATTCCTTAAGGAATAGTTCCACATTTTGGGAAATACACTTATTCTCTTTGTTGCTTTGAGTTTTTCCACTACAGGAAGTCGTTGCTTCCAGCCAAGAAATAGTCCGGTACATAACCCTCAGTAAAACCACAACTTTTTTGTTTGTTTTGCAGTTTCTTTTATTTTTTTGTATGGATTAAACATACAATATATAACATGTTAATTAGTGAGTTTAGAGGTGCTGGTTGTTGAATTTTGTTACCTTTTTTATTATTACTGAAATATTTCCCTCCACTCAGCCAATTTTCTCTTATTTTCATTGCTTGACTCCATATGTCCTGTTATTTTCCAGCAGCAGGGAGATAAGGGCAACAGAAAGAGGTACCTGCCTTCAGACAAAGACAGGCCAGGCTCCCCCCTCAGCAAGAGAATGGCCATGTCTCCAGACAGAGGTGAGAAACATGCTGACTGACAGAATGTATGCCTAACCATCTTTTGCTGTTTCACACAAATACACAGTAGACCTAGACCAATATATGGGAATGACTCTGGCTTTTTTTTTTTTTTTTAAGAAATAAGGATTTGCTCTTGTCCATCTGACATGATGCAGGTTGTGTGATTCAGCATCCAGTATCTAAGGGATGTGATCTGCTGTGATACTTTGGTCAGACTCTAGACTAGTACACATGGACATGTTTAATAGGTATAGTTAGTAGTATATTTTAGATCTATTCTAGACCTGTACTAACATTGACATTTTGTTAACTAACGCCCACATTTGTGCAGAAATTATTATTTGATCATTTGATCCCTTTGTGTCCATCTCTAAATTCTGAGGCTGTCACAAATAAATGCATGTGTGGTAAATCCTGAGAACTGAAATACAACACTGCAGCCCTACTGACTCGTTTAGCCTCTTTCAGCTGCTTGTTTTGATTTTAGGGTCCATATATTCACTGTATGGTTTAGTCGTAAAATTTTTATCAATCAGGTTATTGATCAGTTTTGGGAAAAAAAATCCCACCTCAGAAATGAATGAATGAAAATGAATAGAAAATAGATTGAACTGTTTGCTGTGAGGGTTAGTACAAAAGAATGGTGATTGTTGTTAGTTCCTATGGTGACAAAACATGTCAGTGGGGCTGTGAAGTGTCATATCAAAGTGTAAAATTTTATATGAGCCTTATGCTTGCATCTTCACTGCTAGTACATTGTCTTACTAGTCATCTGATCAATTGCTACTTGCCAGTACAATATTTTCTAATGTTCAGTGGCTCATGGGTTACAGGGAACTGCACAAATTAATCAAACAACACGTCACGGAGGTCTCCATGGTTTGATTACTTCTTGTTCTGTTTCTGATTTGGAAGTACAGTTTGGTTGTGAATAGCATTCTCTTTTGTCCTTTAAATGTTTATTACATAGCACATACAAGCCCACAACCTAATCTGCCTTACCCAATGTAAAGGTTTAGACTTTACATTACATTATAACAGCTGTTAAAGAGATATGCTGTGTAGTCTCCAGAACAACAGTAATGTGAACTAACTTATAGCCAAAAGCCACACTTCTAAACCATTCAGTATAAACAGCCTCAGTAACTCTGAAACTGGTGTTTTTCAGGCCGTGATAAGAGGATTCCTGGCCGACCTCCACTCTCCCCTCGAATGGATCGGCCCAGAGGCCAAGGGCCCCGACCCATGCCCCCCCAGGGAGACAGGTTAGTGCAAACTCCAGCATGTTATTGCTGTAATATTCTTATATTTATTCTCTTACACCTTGTCACACAACAATAGAAGTCAAAAGTAGTAGGGGCATTAAGCTCAAAGAGTGGAAATTCTAACATCAACTTTTTCTGAAACATCACTTTTATCATCAGCAGTGATCATGTTTACTCGGGCTAAAATGAGGAACATGCCACAGAAGTGGAAGCACAAGAATGTTACACCTTCCTCGCATAATAATAATAACAGTATTCACTGGTTCTACCACAAATTCCCCAGTATAGCGTAGGTGCTTTGTAAATGGGTCAGAGCGCTCAGGGAAAAGTCACTTGGTGCAGTGCTTTTTGTCTAGGTGGTCACATACACTCACAAACCAAAAAAAGAAAAACTCTATACGGACCCTCAGCCTAGCAAACTCCTGAAAAATATGATTTTGATCAGTTGTGTCTTGTTGCATTTTCTAGGGGAAAAAGTGAGATGAGTGAGATTTTTTTTTTGCCATACTGTGAAGCAGTTCTGTATTTAATTGTGTCTTTGAGTATCTTTGCCAGGGAAGAAGAAGGCTGCATTATTCTCTTTTTTAGTCATGGTCAGCAGATCTCATTAACCCACCAAAACCAACAGGGTGTTATTACATTTTTCAGGACTCTCCTACTCTGTCTGGGTCCAGAATTTGATTTTTAAAAAGACTCTGACATTTCCCAATACACATGGATGCACTAGCGGTTTAATACTTTTTGTGTGTTAAGTCCTAAGTAGCTACTAGCTAGTTTCAAAATAGTGATTTACTAAATGGGTTAGCACCATTAAATTGCCCTAAATCCAGACAGGGCTTAGTCTTAATAACCCTTTTACTCAGACAAGAAGAATTTGTGTATTTGTTGGAGACTATTTTCAGCCATGCATTTATTCACATTTTCTGCTCAAGTGAGTATTTCTAGCAGCAGGATGGTGTATGCAGGATTGAGTCAAAGTAAACTACAGTGCATATGGTCATGGTCATTCACCCAGTGCAACAGTACGACTCAGTGATGTGTTATTCAAGTCACTGAATATTTTTTGGACAACAGTGGAGCTCTGCAGCACCAGCAAACAAAATATATTTCCAGCTTTGTGTATGACATACTGTACAACCTCCGGATCAACCTAATGCTGGTAACATCTATGGCCAGAGGCATTATGTTTTAGGGTTGTACGTTTGTCTCATTCTCATGAATGTTGAATCTCAAAATCATGTTAAAGATTTTTTTTAAGTTTGGCATGAGCGTCCACTTGGACTCAGTGATGAACTGATTAGAATTTGGTGGTCAAAGGTCACTGTGACCTCACAAAACAAGTTTTGGGCCTTTCAACAATTCATACGCTAATTGTGACAATTTCACACAAATGTCTAATAGAATAAAAATGATGAAGTGATGACATTTTATATCCAAAAGGTCAAAGGTCATCTGAACAGTGATATCATAATGTTCTGCATGAAACACTCTTCTGGCCATTATTCAACACCATAACTCAGGAGCAGAAAGGAGGCATTTGGTCAGATACTGAATTGGTGACACTAATCTTGGGGGCCCACATTGAAACAGTGCTGACTGTGTGGATCTGTGCTGTGGGGTTGTAGATATGTATGAAACATCCACATTTTAGAATGTGTAGCTTCTTTGAAGTATCCTTATTTGAAGCACTGCTAGGTGTCATGCCTACATGTGAGTCTGGACAGACATGGATATAAACTGTAACTTAACTGGTTGGCAGAGGCACACAACCGTAAGGTGGTAATTCAGTTTTGTTCATGTGATTTGTTGACAATAACATTATCATCATCCTTTAAATTAGATGTTCACGTTTTGTCATTGCTCTGTTCATAATTTGGCATTTTTCTCTTTTAGTTCTACGTAGCGTTGCACTGAAGCAGGAGCCTCCGGGGCTGTAAAATGAAGCCATTGCAGAAGTGTTAAAAACTGCAGTTCCTCTAATGGCCACTTGAGGCCGGCTTCAAGAGCGAGTCAGTCCCCATAGACTCCCATGTTAAAATGCCCAACTTTAAAGCAGAAATAAACATGTTTACTAGGGATAGACCGATATGGATTTTTTAGGGCCGATGCCGATACCGATTTTTTTCCATCACCCTTAGCCGATGACCGATTATGGACTGCCGATTTTCTTGAGCCGATATTTGGGGCCGATACTGCTTTTGCTCCCTCAATTTACATCAAAAAAATGACACAATGATAACAAATATTACAGGTCTCAAGTTTAAAATAAGAAACATTTATTGAACAGTAAAAAATACTAAAACAAGATGGAAAGTTGAGGTAGAACAGCTAGAATATTATTATTATTATTATTGTTATACATTCAAATAAAAAAAGACTCCAGTGCTCTTAAATCTTCCAGTAATGTCTTTATAAAATAAACAAATATTTAAGCTGAAGCATTAATAAAACAACAACTACTGTACACAGTAGGATTCGCTGCATGTGCGCTGCAGGGTCTTCCGGCAACACAGAGCTGCCCGTGGATGCCTGTCTGTAAATCATGCCAGGGAAAAATAAATCCGCGAACCCACGCGCGTATCGGCCGATGCCGATACAAGTAAAAAACTCAAATATCGGCCCAATATATCGGCCGGCCGATGTATCGGTCTATCCTTAATGTTTACAGCCTGGTACAAAAAAAATGCTTTTATTATGACCCACTTGTCACTTTAAGTGACAAGTGGGTGCAGGTCACTACCACAGCGATAACATTGGTTAGATAATGTAACCATGTAGCAGTGTATAGGCGGAGCTGTAGCTGTCGCTATTACAGTGTATTTTCAGTTCATAAAAGTTTATCGCAATGTTTTGGTTGCCAAAAAACACTTTTCGTTTTAATGGTTTTACACTTGGGTTTCACAAGCGAAATTAGCACCAGCATTATCACCGTTAACCATAGCTTTAAATGTGCCATGCTAACCAAGCTAGTACCTAGCATTAAGATTAGCTTGACGCTCTTGTTCAAATATGGCTATATTTCTGGCTCCAAAAATCCAAGATGGCGAGAGCCAAATGCCAAACTCAAGGCAGGAGTCCACAAACCATTGGCTGAGATAATGGTCACAATGTCCATTTTTACGTACAGTCTATGGTCACACTATCTGCTTGTATGAACTGACATGAGTAAAAATGTGCTCCTAATTCTAGCCTCTCTTCCATAGAAAACGTCCTCTGTCACCACCCCCCAAGTCATCTGGGAAAGGCCCAGTGGCGCCATCCAGCAAGCCAGCCATCCCGGGCTCAGCTTCGGCCATCAGCTCAGGCTCGAGCTCAGGCTCGGGCTCCAACAAACCCAGCAACACACTGTCCCGCCGCGAGGAGCTGCTGAAACAACTGAAGGCTGTGGAGGACGCCATCGCCCGGAAACGAGCAAAGATCCCCGCCAAATAAAGGGAAGCCCACTCCTCGCCTGTTCGCCTGCCTGCCAGTCTGCCTGCCTGCGCGGCTTCGATGCTGGGGCAACAGTGAGGGTCATGGGATTGAGCGTTTTCCCCCTGCCTTCCGTGGACGTGTAAAAATGTTGTATGGTTCATGTAAAAAGGCTATTGTGTAAGTGAACAGGAAGTGGCTGCCACGAAAACCATCTTCTGCTTGTTTGCCCTCAGAGAGGTTTGGCTCCGCTCCATTCTAGAGTGTCTTTCACTCCCATATGCCCGACTTTTACTCCCCCTTAAAAGCCTTGAATGTCTTGGCTGCGGTTAACCTCATCAAGGAAAAACGAGAAAACATGGGCATTTGGTGAAGGAGGGACATCTCAGGAATGGAGTGTCTTTGTGTAGACTTTACAGATACACAAGGGTAGTAAGGTGCACTTGATCACTTGCTGCTCACTGTTCGTTCAGTGAAAAGGAAGCATCTTCCTCATCTGATGTGATGAATGACAGATTTATACACATTGAATCTACTACTTCTGTCTGTCTTTCTCTGCCCCCTTTTATCGTCTTGTTCTCTTGCATTTTTTCTTTAGTTTGTGGAGTGGTGTGACTGTTGGGTCAGCTCTACAGGGTACTGACAGCCCACAGGGCTTCACAACACTTCTTTGTATAAATCTACAGATTCTTGAGCATCCATATTCGGCCCCTGTAAGCAATCACGAGCCCAAGCTTTGTTGAGAGGGGGCCAATGTTAACCAGTGACTCGTCTGCGTTCTGTGTTTTAGGGCAGTGTCCACTGTCACAACTTGTACAATAATAGCAACTCATCAGATTCTTTAAAGCGTATGATTAAAGACAACAGTGATGTGAAGTATTGCTTTCTTTTTTTTTTAATCTACAGAATTTTGTTTTCTTCTTAGCTCTTAAGTGATAAACTGATGTTTTATTTGTGTCACATTTTTAGTTGGAGTATGAGAGTTGAACCGGGGACATTTAGAGACAAGATATGTCTTGCTTTTGTGACAAAAGCCTTCTAAATAAACTATTTTGATAAAGAGAAGGTCATTTGCCTGTTTTTCTCTACTGTTGTGCAAGACAAAAAATTTGGGTGTTTAAATAAAGATGCACTGTCACATGTTTCTGGAAGCATGCACAGTAATAATAAGTAGAAAGAATGTAGAATATATGTACTTAAAATGATCTCGTAGGCAACAGATTCATGGTATTGTACCCTTTCTAACCAAAGGGTTGGTTCACTTCCACCTCTTTTCTAACAGCATTACATCAACATGGTGATGTATATTTTGTGTTCCGTTTCGATAACCACCTCTTTTTTTCTATGATCGCCACCACATAACTTCTGTTTGATTCATCATAGCACCCATTCCTCAACCACAGCGGCTTCAAATTTGATCTTGTGGTTTTTGGCCATGCTTGTAGAGTAAGAAGTGTCAGTCGTGGCTGGTCGGTTAGTCAATCAGTCTGTAAGTCTGTCACCACTTTGGTCCAGAACTGAAATGTCGCACACTGTTTATACAGAGTTTATACACTCTGTAAGTATCCCAACAGTTATTTGATGGATTGGCATTAAGTTCTGTACAGATACTCATGATGCCAAGACAAGGATTCCTGCTCACTTTGATGATCGCCTTATTTTAACTCTACTGGTGCAAGCAGATCTAAGTTTTCAATGATCTTCTGAAATATCTAAATATCTACTCGATGGATTGGCATAAAATTTCATACAGGTGTTCATGGTACCTGGAGGAAGACTCCTATTGAGATCAGGGATCCCCTGACCTTTCCTCTAGTGCACCCATGTGGTTTACATTTGTGCTTTTCATTATCTTGACAGCTATTGGATGGATTGCCATGAATCTGATACATTCAGGATGAATAATAATATTAATGATAATATTTGTAAAAGATCTCAGAATTTGATGCATATATCGCTAATACTCTGTTGTTGTTATCAACGGTCCATTGTCTTTGTTCTTTGCCCACTTTTTTTTTTTTTTTTTAGCTAGTTTCAGATGTCGCTATTAGCCTTGCTAGCAGCATGGTTCAATGGATGCTGGTTGGTCAATTGGTTGATCAGTTTGGTCCAGACTGAAATACCACAATAGCTATTTGGTGAATTGCTATAACCTTTTGTACAGATATTCATGGTCCATAGAGGGTAAATACTAATGACAGAGATCCCCTAACTTTTCCATTAGCGCCACCATGAGGTTGACAGTTTTTTATTTAAATGCCTTTACAGCTACTGATTGGAGTATTTTGCAAAACAACATGAGAGCTATGTGTTTCTTTAGAATGCAGCGGTGGGTGTCTCAAGTCACATGACTTTACTTGAGTCAGACTTAAGCCAAAGGACTTGAGACTTTGCTTGACTGACACTGATAAAAGACTCAAACTGACTATAACTTGATATTCATGACTTGAGACTTCACTTAGACTCGAGACAGGTTAATCGAAAAGACTTTTTGTTAAATATTTAACTTTTTGTATTTGAAACATAATTGAGTGAATTTAGCAACCTAATAGGATGCAGCAAACCAGCAGGGGACTTTGCAAATGGTAGGATAGCAAAGGAATGGCCTGTCTTACTTTGCTGCGTTCTGCCTCCGATTGGCTTACCCTGACATTCTTGCCGTAACCTTAACCATTCCCATGCTTCTTGTCTAAACCGAACCAATCCAACCAATGAAGGCAACGAGGACTAGCCAGTCAGGGAGAGTAAGGCAGGTCATTCCATGGCTATCCTAGGTCAAGCAAATTTGTGAACTGTAGACACCGACAAACAAGGTTGCTATCATGGAGTGGGTTAGTCCAAATATAATGAAATTTGGATTCAAGGATTTTGTTGGTAATGAAGGTAGTAAGAAAAGAACAGCAGTATGAAAGGTCTGCAGCTCAAAATTCAGTAAGAAAGTTACGTCAGCGTGACTTTTTAGCTAACTTATTAGCTTGTTGACTCATGAAATGTTAGCTAGAAAACTAAAGTTTGACCTGATCATCAGAATTTCATACGACTTGACTTGTGACTTGCTTGACCCAAGTAATGACTTGACTTGTTTTACTTGACTTACAGCAGGGCCATGACTTTGGTTGCTTGATTCTTACCACAGAAACTTGGGACTTGCTTGAGACGTGAAGGTTAAGAGTGTTTTGTTTGAGCCAGTTGGAACGAAAAATAGCAGCAACCCAAAGAAAGACAATTGACTTGCCTGACTAAACAGAACAGTTTTGGGGTGTTGGTGGCTTAGTGGTAGAGCAGCCGCCCCATGTAGAAGGCTGTTGCTGCAGCGGCCCGGGTTTGACTCCAGCCTGTGGCCTTTTGCTGCATGTCACTCCCTCTCTCTCTCCCCCTTTCACGCTTGTCTGTCCTGTCAAATAAAGGCTAAAAATGCCCAGAAAAAATCTTTAAAAAAACAAGTTTTGCTAACCCAAGCGAAGTTGTCTCTAAAAACCAATTAGCATTTAAATATGTTAATTTAAGTAAATGAGTTTATAATAAGGACACTAAAATAATGGCTGTTGAGAATAAGGCATTGTGGATCAATGTGAATTATTAATTATAAATATGTCATTTCTAGTAGTTATTTGCAACATTGGTAGCTTAATGTCTTAGATATATAGTATAATGAAAATAACTTAATGCCCTGTTGGTGAATATAAGTATTCATTTCTATCAACAACATGAATATTTCTTGGTGATTCCTAAGCTTGGAATTCTGGTGTGTGTCTAGTCATATGTGCTAAAATGTAGCCAAGTCCTGTTGGTCTGTGTAGTTGGGTTATATTGCAGAGGAGAGGCAGGTGAACGGTAAATGTTTAGTCAGTCATCCTGGTGGAGGAGTAAATGAATATGTAAGTGAGGTATTCTCTGGTTGCTGGTGTTTTGCACGGAGGAACTCCCACTGTGGCCTTTATATGAGCCACAAATTTGGTTAGTCTTCCACAGCTCGGACATGACCGTTAACATCCCTGTTAGAGTCATAGCACACCATTCACATTTATTGCTTGCTGTAATCTAAGAAATATGAACCATTCCTGTCTGGAAACATTTCCACCTCATGCAGTCAGTGATACAGAAATATGTATTAGTCACGTTATTCAGCACACTGGTGGTTTGCACCTGTTTTAGCTCGTCAACCAGCAGTAATCAATTCAGATGGTTTCTATTTTTTTATGTAATTTTTAAAAGCTTTAAAACACGTAAAATTACCTTATGTTATTATTATCTTATTTTATCTTATCAAATATTGTATAAAAATTAGGCTTCAAGTAACGTATCGGTTATATGTTATGTCATGACACTTGTTTCACAGCACTTGAGGATAATGGCACCTGGCATACTGACACACACCACTTTATCCTGTTAAAGCAATATCCATAACTTGGATTCGTTTTCATGAAAAAGACTTTTGATTCCTTTAATCAGTGGACCCATATGGGCTAAAGGAATATAAATAACTTGCGGGGTAATCAAGGAATGGACACATACTCTGACTTTATGACAGTATCAGAGGAAGGGAGTCACTCTTGTTTTTTTGTCATTCCAGTAAATCTGAATGATTTACAGTCTTCTCTGGTGCTCATGGTTTCAGTAAAATGAACTGAACTGAGCTAACATTTAAACATTTATATTTGTATGTGCAACCTAAACCGCTAACTAATGTTAGCTCAAGTGGGTAGCCAACAATCTGGTTTCATACATCCAAAGAATGTCTACAAAAATGAACTGCTTGGCAACCAGACCAGGGCCCGTATTCCTAAAGATTCTTAGTGCAAAGAGTTGCTCCTAGTGGCCAAATTCTAAGAAAATTCTTAGAATCTTGGTGTTTTCTTAGAATTTCTCCTAAAAATTAAGAGTAGATCCTAGTAAAGATAAAAGCTATTCCAAAAGAATCCTAGCTCCTAAGAGTGCTCCTAAGGTGAGATCTATTAGGAGCAGGGAAGAGGACTTTTAAGCAGCTTAGGAGTTCCCTAAGCAGAGGACAAAATGGCGGAGGGAAGAGGCAGGAGAGATATTCTCCAAACACTGGAAGACGGTGAATTATTAAAACGCTACAGATTGGATCGCGCCGGCATTGTTTTTGTGGTCGATCTCATTAGAGATGCACTGACTTCTCCTACCCAACGCCACAATGCCATATCACCTGAAATGAAGGTAATCACAACCTTGAGGTATTTGGCAACAGGGAAAATGCAACAATGCAGCAGTGATGACTTGGGTCTGTCACAACCCTCCATCAGCAGGGTCATCAATCAAACATTGACAGCATTGTCACAACCTCACATTGTGACACAATTTGTTAAATTTCCACTGGATGCCCGCACTTTGCAAGCCCACAAAAGGGCATTTATGGACATTGCAGGATTCCCTGGTGTTGTGGGTGTAATTGATGGGACACATGTCAGAATAATTGCACCATCAGAAGATGAAGCCATCTTTGTGAACAGGAAAAGATTTCACAGCATCAATGTTCAGCTTGTTTTCAGTGCTGACTACAAAATTTTAGACATTGTTGCTAAATGGCCAGGCTCAACACATGATGCCAGAATGCTCTCTGAGAGTGGTCTCAGACAGCTTTTCGAGGGACATTATGTGCCAGCCAATTGCCACTTGTTAGGGGACAGTGGCTACCCATGCAAACCATGGCTCCTAACACCTTACCTCCAGCCACACCAAGGGCCGCAACTAAACTACAACAGGTAACCCAAACAATATAGAATTATGCATGGACATAAAATGTAAATTGCATGTTGGATTATCCTAGATATTTCCATCAAATAATGTACATAATGTATAATGTTTAATTATGTCTGTAGGGCCCATAAGAGAACAAGGGCAGTTGTGGAGCGTGGCATTGGCCAAATGAAGAGACGCTTTCATGTCCTCCATGGAGAGGTGCGGCTGACCCCTGATAAAGTCTGCAAAGTCATCGTGGCCTGTGCAATACTGCACAACATTTGCAAGGCTCGGCAGATTGCAGAACCTCTTGAGGGTGATGGTGACGAGGAGAGCGATGATGATGGTGGTGAAGAAAACAT